TGAAACAAATTATCTCCTGCAGGCAACACACAAACTCCACATGTATATAAATATCTGAACTATCATGTTAACATCCAGGGCAGTGTGGGTAAGGGATAGGGTTGAGGAATAGCAAAATAGTATGTTTGCATATCATGATGACGGTGCTGTTTTGGTAATAACTGTAAAATAATAACACACAGTCATTAGTAGAGACAGACCTTAGTGAAAATATGCAATAGGTAAGATCATTTTTGATCATAGCTTCTTCTAAATTGAAGCCAACAACATTTTCCACATCAGCTATCGTCATGCTAGAGGACAAAGTTATTTATTATAATTACTTTATGTACATTTTGTTGACCTCACTTAACTGCAAATAAAGACCTGACATCTCATTGAAGTCAAATAAAAGCAAACCTTTTAAACTTCCTTGTTTCTGAAAAACAAGTTGAACATGTTTGTGTGCAACACCTTTTTGTTTCCCAAGCAAGCCTTAACATGCTTTCATCCTCGTTTCCAGCTAAAGCAAGTCAAGCAGCAGTTTTAGGACAGCCTAAGGCATCTTACTTTAATAAAGCAACTAAAATGATCAGGAATCATTTTCTTTAAGGTATACAACACAGATTACTACACAGTTAAAAGGTAGAGGTGTAATTGAAATGAAACAACAAATACTGATTATCAAACTCAAAAAACACAGCTGATTTAAAAAACAACCATATCCAGGCATGTCAAACTCAAGGTTCTTAAATGTATATTCACAGCAATAAGCCTCATAAAATGTTTTTCTGTCACTGACATTAAATCATTCACCCATTATTCCCCTATACCAAATATCTTTGCAGGTTCAGAAGACTTTTCTGTATAGTAAACCTTTTACAGTTTTAGCTTAGTTAGAAAAACTAAAATTGATTTATTTGCTCACACAGAACTTTATAATTAGGTGTTTTGATATGATGCATCTACCTTTATGCTTCACATCTGAAAAGCTTACAAATCGATGAGGCTTTTGCATTTTTTTTTTTATTATAGACATCGGGATCTATAGTAAGCAAGTCATAAAACAAGTCTTATCTCAGTCAATAATCTGGAATTTAACCAAAACAAAGCAACATTTAAACCAATAGTTTCCTTCTTTTGCATCTTTTTGAGTAAAGGATATACTTTCCTGGCATCCAGTAGGGATCTGTGTTTTGAAAAGATTCCAAACTCACCTATTTGGTTGCCGTTGAACTGACAGGACTGACCATCAGCTGGAAGGTCATTAATGCAGCCGCATGTGTCACCAGTGATGGCATCACATGCTCCATAGGTAAGGCAAGTGTTATAAGACCAGGCAAAGTTCTCCTCACACTTGCACTGATACCCAGCTTTTTCTAGTGAGCACACTGTGGAAAAGCACAGTGTATATGTATATGTTATTTCTTAGAGCTGACTGATACATGCTCAGCACATGCTCATGCACAAAAACAAATGGATGTCTTATGTAACTTAGGTGATAAGAAACCTTTATCTTCATCTAAGATAAACAGATTGTTAATAACTTATATTAATATTACTCAACTAACCAATATTGTGCAGGAAAGATACTCCTTAAAATACAAAAAGTTACTCAGGAAAATTTTTCTAACTTCTAACAATTCTAATTCTATTGTAATGCTTGACCTTCTCTAAATAAAACAATACGATACCTGTTGTTATGACAAGGCTGGAAATTTCACTTTTATTGTCGATTGATATGGAAACATTGAAATCGGTGATCATTTGGAGAATTGCTGAGTCAGAAAAGCTCATAATGACATCAAGCTCATATTCAGTGGAGGTTATTGCGGCTAGGGAGAAAACAGATGGAAAGAAGCTTTAATACAGTCAGTCATTGTTTCCAGATGAATGACGGTCATTGTGTTTTGGAGGGACTCACTCTCTCTTTTTTCTCTGGCATAAAGGCTGGGTGATTTAGAATCAACTGATTCCTGTAAAAATCCACCAAAGTCAAACACAGACAAAGGGACTATTTTTGGTTTCAAAAAGAGACATCAGAGGTTTATATTATATATTAAATTTTCATAGTACGCCCTAAAACCTGTTTCATGTGTATTTTGTTTTCATGCTGACCTCAAAGAAGGTGAAGACCAACGGGTTGAATCCTGACTTGTCCAGAGTGTAGCAGATAACAGAAAGGATAACAGCAAACTGTGCCAACTTTGGCAAAGCCATCCTCACTGCAGAGGAAAGGATAATCTTTGCAAAGACATTTGGTATGTTCAAAAAAAACATAATTACTTAGAATAGTGTCAATTTTTAAAATAAAGCTAGTTCCATTTAAAGATGCAAGGAAAGTCATTTGTTAAATCTTCATGTTCAAAAACCCATTCAGATAATATTTTTAAAAACTGCAATAAAATGTTTTTCATTTACACCTGTTTGGTAGTTGAACTTACATAAAAAATAGAATCTATGGATTAAATAAGATCAGAGTTAAAGTTTATTCCATAGGGAAACATCTATTTAAACTACTTATGTTCATATTTATTCTTTCCGATCAACCAATAACTTTTCCCAAATTAATCCTGACAACTGTAGTGCCTCATCTTATGAGATTATTGTGGCTGATTTAAAAAGCGCCATACAGGACTTTAAATGTTTTACTACCTTCTCTGACTGTAATATATAAGGACTTGAGTAGCGTTAAGGATATCAGGAGATAGCTGTTATTACAAAATTAAGCTTCAGAAAAGATTCACAGAACTGTTCTGGTAAGTAGGTATGAAGTTAGACTCCAATCTATGCAAGACAGAAACATAAAAAGGCCGGTATGTTTCTTTAGAAAAATGTTTCTTGCTAGCTCCTCACAGTGCAAATCATTTTCATTACCTAAGAATTTAAAGCAAGAGTTAGACATAGGAGCACCTGTTCATAAAAATTTACCCGGGGTTGAAACAAAGAGCTATTTAGACAAAACACACATTTTTTTTACTTGCACAGCCCTACTAAATGACTCAAGATTTTATAACCATGCAACCTTTGTCTTTATCATGATATGGCTTGAGAATGTGTAGTTGTACAATATTGTTGGTAAATAAAAAAGAGAGTCTAAATAAACTGCTTAAAGACTTAATCTAAAAAAACATGAAGTATATTTAGTAAATACTAAATATGCCAAAAAGTTGCCATACTAATGTTATTGTATTCTTGTTTTAATGTTTAAGGACAAGTCTTTCAAGGCAGATTTTGCCACGCCTGGATGACACAAAGATCATTTGAAGATGTTTCTTTAATTCTAAACGAGGTGTTGTGTTGTAAGCTTGCAGTCTATGCGTACATGCCCTCCTAGAATCAATCAGTATTAGGTGCAATCAGAAAAAAGGCAATTAGTGTAAAATTTGTAGCCTTTATTTTCATGCATCAAGCATAATTAAGCCTTTATTCATCCCTTGAGTCGTTTTGCGCATGCCTTTCATTGTAGATCCCCCCACATAAATAGTCACAATCACAATACACCCAACTTGGCTGCTGTTTCTTGTTCCTTAAAGCCTTAACTGATGCATGGTTGAATGGATGGAAGACATTCTCTAAGGTTATGATTCTCTTATGTATAATATTATAATTGTATTGCTGTTCTGAAACCTTTTGAAAAAAAATAACACAAGTGGTCTCATTAAAATTAATTTTTTAATATCTTACTAGAGTGGTTTCATTTTAAACTGCTCTTTAAACAAGAAATACATAGTACTAACTTATAAGTGTCAAGATAATAATATCAGGCTCTGCTAAACAAAGCATGAACTCTTAGGATCTAGTTCCGTAGGATAGGATTAAAATTTGAATTTTGTTACCTCTCCACGTAGCCTGGCTTCCAAAGAGACTCTTGTCTTGAGTGAACATTCATTTAATTGCTCTTCTTTAAATACTAAGAGGAACACTCGCCTAAATAGGGAAAGCCCCAACTATTCGTTTCCTGGAATACTTTGCAAGCTTCATAATTACTGCAGAATTCCTGACAAAAATTAAAATTGTTCCCACGTCTTGATGATTCTTGGTTTCCAGTGTGATTGTGTTTATACTAATATTTGTATAATTTAATTTGTGTCATTTTTACAAAATATGAAATAAAATTTAGCTTTACTATTTAATTTTAATGGAATAGGATGCCTTTTGAAAATAAAAAAAGAACATCAAAGTGAAGCGCAAACATAATTGAAACCCAGGCATGAACCAATAACAACTGCTAAACCACACCCAAGGTTGATATTGATGTGGAATCACTGAAAGTGAAAATAAAAAGCTCCACACATAACTCTGTTTAGACTCCACACATTATACCGAGGGGAGGAAAGAAACATTCTTCCAAAAATCTCAATCTTTTATTATTTTAGTTTCCTCATTATATATACAGCTATTATTAAGGCTACAGCTACTTGCTTAATATTGACAAGTTAAAATCATACATTGTTTTCGAAGATTTTAAGTAATTTGATTGTTCTCTTAATCTGACAATGTTCCGTTTGAAGTAATCTAAACAGGCTCATGCAGGTTTAGAAAATAAATGGATGAAAACATATTGTTAAATCTTACCTAAATTATTAAAACTTCTAAAACTCTTTGCAAAATGTAAACATGTCACATCCTACTTTCCACCCTAAAATTTGATTCTACTAGCAAAAAATCGAAAGTGTTCATAGAGAAGTGTAACCACTCTTGAATCAAGACAAGTTCAATAGACAATTTTCAGGATAAAAGAAGGTGATACAATGTGTAACATTTTGCGCACTTCTTATTATCAAATCCATTATAAGCAAGGTTTGACTAACCTGACAAGGCAGACTGATAATGTGTATACCTCAGGTTTAGTTCTTTACATCAGAGTAGTTCTCAAACCAGCTCCTCAAGTACCATGCCCTGCATGTTTCAGATGTCTCTCTATAGTAGCACAATTGACTCAAACTATTGCATAACATTCTCAACAGCCATCAAGCACTGCATGTTAATCAGTCTTTTAAATAAATCAGGTTTGTTGGAGAGGACAGAAAACGTAAACACGCAGGGCAGTGGTACTTGAGGACCAGGATTGAGAAACCCTTCTTAACATTATTAATCTGGAACTAATCCCATCCATTCTGTTCAGGGAAAGGAGGATATTTTAGCAGAGGTGGGTAGAGTACCAAGAGTTTTATTTGAGCAACTATGAGTAAAAAGTGTTATTTGTAAAAGCTACTAAAGTACTGAGTAATTTATCAATTTAGTACCCATGATCATAACGACTGACTTAATATTTTACAAAATTATGTAAAATTTAACAGAATATTAAATAATATGCAAGTCCTGGCGTTTCAAAGGAAAGGAAGGTATAAGCATATAACATACAGTAATTACTACTACTAGTAAATACTATAAAATTTTCACTCAACTTCCAAATGATATGGCAGACTCAGTAGTTGGAAACATTTAACCAATCATCCTTGAGTACAAAATGAAGAAAACTGTGTCTCTCAATGGTGCATTTTTATTTAAAACAAGCTTTTTTTCATTAAGTTATTCACAATAGATGGAGTAGCCGTACACAAGTAAGAGTAGTGATACTTTATCATATTTTAACTCAAGTAAATGTCAAACACGACTTAAAGTTACTCGAGTAAATGTAACTAGTTACTACCCACCTCTTGAGTTTTTCTTTTTTCAGTGACAGATAATCGAATTACCATGTGGGTTCTTAGCATCCATCTTCAGTTAGGTCTGGAACAGCTATTTTTATGACTTCTATTCTATTCTATTCTATTCTGCTCTACTCTATTCTATTCATGTAAAATATCTAAAAGTGGAAAATTCCAAGAAAAAATCCAAGAGTCTGTCCAAAATGTTCTCTTCTCTTCTAAAAGTGAGAGGGACAACAAAAAAGCTAACATTGGACTGAATATAAACAAAGCATAAATCTTTAAGAAGAGAGCATTATTTTTTATTTCAATACATTTAAATATACAAAATACATCTAACTTTGATTAAATAAAATCCATTTTGAAGAGAAACCCGTCCAAGAACGGAAGCAGAAGTATATATACTGTATACAGTAAAAATTTGTTTTTCATTTTTAATGGTCAACCAGTTGTACCAGAAAGATTCACACACTATGTGTACAAACTGGCACTGAGGGAATGTAAATGCTATCTTGACTGTGTATGTATACACACTCCCCAATGGTAAAGATATGAAAAAAAAATACAGTTTGATATCAGTCAAATGAAACTACTGTTTAAACAATTTCACTAAAAGTCATTTTGCTTTGCTGGATGACCTTTCCAAGGTTGGTGTCATTCCTCAATATCAGTTGGCCTGTTTCATTATCAATCATTGGATCCGTTAGGGTACTGATGGTATCCTTTTGAAGAACCTGTAAAAACAACAAAATAAATAAAAACAAAAAGCACCAACAAACCAAATCACAATATAAAAAACAAAGAGCAGGGGAAAAAAGCACAATTACTAACGCAGATCATTAACAACAGGCACAGTTACAATGGCTTAGTGCTCATTAGACAGCACTCGATGAGCCATGTGAACAAATGTCCTGTCTTTTAAGTATTAATGTAGGAATAAGGATGTCTATCATTTTCTTGCACTATTGTTTAATGTTCTAATTCCCCATAAGAACATGCTGTCACTTGTTTTGTTTACATTGGTTTTTTTTTTATCCCAGTGGGCCAAAAAAGCTTATATCTTGAATATGCTCTCTTGGTGATAATACATCTGGCTCTTTTGAGACATCTCAAGAAAGGTACAAGGTCTGAATCTGCAGGGAAACACTTACTGTACAGTACATTTGAAAAATTTTTAGCTATTTTTTATTTTTTTTATTTCTGTTATATTTATCATGAAACCACATGCAAACAAGCAGATTGTCTTTCTATACTTATAAGGACTTTGCATTGACTGCCCTTCAGTTTCCAGTGATTCCCATGTCCTAACTCTGATCCCAAACAGAGATACGAGTTTAAAGGCACACCGTGGACTTTATGACCTACTGTAAAGAGTTGACGCATATGAGTTATTTTAAATGATTCTTCAGGCCAATATACACCGCTTGACACTATCAATGCTACAAGTGGGGCTCCACTCTTGAAATACCGACTATGTTAGTTGGGAGATCACGGACCGTCTTTGGTGAGGTCATGTAACCTGGAAGAACATATCACTTTAAGGCCACAGGCTTTTATATAGTCATGGAGCTAAGGCTTTTGCTCTACTATTTTTCCCGCATGCTTAACTACTGGTAATGGCTGAGGCAAGGAAAAACTTTAAACCTTCTGAGGAGGCTTAAAAGAGAAAACGTGAAAGAGATCCTAAATGAAGAAAAACAAGAGTCGATCTTGGAAAGGTGTTTGTTCGTTGGCGCAGGCTGAAAGAAGAAGCCAGATTTTAAACCGATTGTCTTTTCTCAATTTTATTATTGACTGGTAAGTTAACACTTTGCTCCTAGTATGCAGTCGTATATCTTTGTTATTATTTTCAGTGTAATCAGGGTGCTGTAGTGGTTTCTGTTCTGTTCTCCTGTTAGCCATACTGTATGTGGTTTTTCGAATCCAAATCCCACTTTGCTCTGCAGATTCAAGCAGTCACGCCGGTGCTCCAGCTGACTGTCACTTGTCACCACCCCTCAGACTAATTGGCCAAGTCCTACCAACTGGCCTCCTCCTGCTTGGCAACCTCCCTACCCAGTGCAAGCTCCTGTATCTCCCATCTACGGACCTCTGCAGCTCCACTCACTCCCCCTGGTAGATCGTTAGTGTCACACGCAGTAAGTCTTTTAGTGCTGTCAA